GTAACACTTGCAACGTCTGGACACTTAGGACAATCTCTTAATTTTTCCTTCCTTCCATGTGCTGTTTGACTTTCCTTTTATACAACTCTAATTCTGCAGCAGATGGCAGGAGAAGAAAATTGAATTTTAAAAATACCATACTAAGTAGAACAACAAGAAATAAAGAAGGAGGGAACTCAAATGAGTAGCTAATGGATATTACCTGTGCTATTATCTGGCTTTTTGCTTCTCCTTAAGAGCACTCCCTCTCACCCACCCACCCACGTACCCTTGGGGATTCTGAATGAACAGAAAAGGTTTGGCCTGTCGCCCCCCCCACCAGCCCCTCAAAAAAGCATCCTAACAAATTGCAGCTGTTAAATCCAGGAGGCATTTCTCTTCTAGTCACCGCTTACCTCACGCACACACCCCACTTCTGAATGGGAGCAGAAACAGACCCTGAACAAACTGCTTTGCCTCCCCAAAGAGTTACTATTTCCACGAGGAACATGGTCACTACTACTTGCACACAGAAGCTCTCAATATGCCACATCACAAATACCTGTTGTTGTTTACAGCAAGGAAAAAAGTGTATGTATGCATGCGTGTGTCAAAAGGGTATTTTTCTTGCTCTAAGCCTTCCCCTCTCCTTGTCCATCAGCCCAAGCAAGCAGAGATGACGCAGACTTCCTTATATAATAGCCTGTGATTTCCTAGACTGCAGTCCTTTCCCTTTGTGTTCTGTATACACTTACACATGCGAGCGCGCGCACATTCTCATTGCTTTGCAGCCCCTGGCATGATGCCAGCACTCAGTCAGCTGGTTGACTCCATTCACAGAGTGGGGTTGGAGCTGACATGGAAAAGGGGAGGGGTAGGGAGGGTAAGGGGGAGCTAGAACCATCATTGCTACAGACAAAAGAATTAAAAAAAAAAACAAAAAAAGAGAGAGAGGCAGAAAGAAAAAAACCTTAGTTTAACACTCTTCTTACAGCTTCAGCTCAAAGATGACCAGAAGCCAGAGACCCTTTCCATTACAGCAAATGGATGAAGCAGAGGGAAAGAGGATCCAAACCAAAAGGAACTTTGTATGAGAAACAATTCTGCAATAAATTTTAAAAAGCAACAGTGTTTACTACTTCGATCCCATCAGAAAACTCGGCATATCTTCTACACATAGTCAGGAAATCATTCTGAAGAAGTCAGAGCAATTCTGAGTTTCTTTCAGAAAAAGAAAAATTGGGGGGTGGGGAGGAAGACAGTTAAAAGTACTTATAGGTACACATTTTTCTGCTCCCTTCTCTAGCTTCCAGGGAAAATGAGAGATAAGAAAGGGGGAAACAAAAAAAGGAGGAAAAGAAATAGTAAGAGATGGGTTTAGGGTTTTTTTTCCCCATGTATATGTGTGTGTTAGAATGTGTGTGTGTGTTTCCTTTCTGTTTCCTATCATCTCTTTTCTACGGTAAGAGAAGCTCTTTCTATAGCACAGGGGTGGCCCCATGCATGCCAGCCCCCCTCAAGAGACCTGTACAAACCTGGTCGCCAAGCGGGCACTGCCCTGCCAATCACATGGCGTACTGTTATATTAAACAAAAGAAACAGGGGGATGCTTACTTTTACCCATGATGCCTAGCGGGGGCAGGAGGGAGGGAGAGAAAAACCAGTTGTAGCCGGTTTATAACCTCAGGACATGGAATTATCTCTTAATTTTTTAAAGTCGTTGTGGCACAAAAGTCAGTCAGTCTCCCCACCCCAACTATCCCCCCCATTATTCTGGCCTAGTGCCAAACTTTGCCTTCATTCATGAGAGCTAGTTTCCTCTCAAATCATGATGCTTTAACTATTTAGTTTCCAAAACCAACATCCAAGACAGGAAATCACAGCATCAATACCAAAGCATACCCCAAATTACAACAAAACCAAGACATACTGCCAGCCAAGCTCCTTTTGTTTATCCCTACTGCTAGTGCTAGGGAACAAGTACTGATAAGACAGTGTGTTTATTAAAGATTTTTTTCCTAAAGCTGTCCCACAGGTAGATACCTGATTTAGCCGTATCAACTGACACCATTCAGGGCAGTTCAATCCACACTTAACACAAATCATAGCAATGTTTCACAGCAAAGCAGTCATGACAGCACATACACACTTTTAAAAATGGATTAGGTCTTTGTTATGTATATTTCAGAACAATTTTTTTTAAAAAACAAAATTGTTTTAATGGCTTGGGCCCAGCCACAGTATGGTTGCAATATTATTCCACTTTCCTCTGTCACAGCTAGAACACTCTTTACTTTCTGCATTCCAGCACCTCCTTACCCACCATATACCACTTACCACACTCTTCCTATGTCATTCTATAGACAGGTCTAGATGCTAGACATATTTGAGCCTGATCCCCCTGCTTAACTTTCCTTTTTCTATTTTAGAGCAACTGTTTCCAAACATCTTATATGAAGTTTTTGTTTCCCAAAAGTACTGATAAGAGGTCAAAAAGTAGTGGGGTCAAAAATCCTAGCAAACCAAAGAGAGAAGACAGTGGTAATTATTTTGTGGAGATCTATTGGCTGAGGACCTCTAGCATCTTTGTCTATCTGACGAACTAAGTTATTTACAAATACTAACAAGGAATAGTAAAGTAGGAAGAGATTTTCTTACTTTTCTACTGATATCCCCTATCAATATACCATGCTAAATGCCTGCCCCATTTGGACCTCTAAAACTTAAATCATAATTATACTGCCTCCATCAGAGACTCTCACAAAGCCCTTGTTTCTCTCAAATATTAAAGCTTCTCAAACTATAGAGAAGAATATAGAATATAGAGAGAAATAATCTTCTCCCTACTCAAAGTTTTTTTTTTTTTTCAAGTTTTTCTTTCGTTTTTTGAGACAGGGTCTCGCTCTATCACCTGGGCTAGAGTGCAGCGGCATCATCATAGCTCCCTGCAACCTGAAACTCCTGGGCTCAAGCAATCCTCCTGCCTCAGCCTCCCGAGTAGCTGGGACTACAGGTGCATGCCACCATGCCCAGCTAATTTTTCTATTTTTTATAGAGACGGGGTCTCACTCTTGCTCAGGCTGTTCTCATGCTCCTGGCCTCAAGCAATCCTCCCTCTTTGGCCTCCCAAAGTGCAAGGATTACAGGCGTGAGCCACTGAGCCTGGCCTCAAATATATTAATTTGTAAATAAAAGTTTTCTTGAACAACATAATATTAACTTCAATTTTCAGAAAGCTAATACTGAGTTAAATCTGAACTAGGTAGTACTGGCCACTGCCATAAGCATTTAGTAATTTACAAACTACAAAGAAAAATCCTGCATCTACACAAGCCAAGCTTCAAGTGGTTGATTTTGTACCATCTCAGCCACAATAAGTCGCTCTTCATAGGAGCCCATCAGAGGTTTCCAGATCTAGGTACTGCTATCATTTTAGCAGATAAAGGAAAACATGATGCCTGTGATAAATGTAATAAGTAAAATAGATTATTTTCCTCACATTTCCACAAAAGATCAATTACGAATTTCAAACCAAAGCCCACCAGTTCCAAGGTGACAAAGGTAGGGACAATTGTCTATTTTTTAACAACCATTCAGAGATTGTGCCCATTAAAGTCTGCTGAATACATCTGACTGCACTTAAACATTGGTCAATTTCTATCAGTCTTTAAGATAATATAAAAAGCTTAGATACAATTAAACTGTCTGTAGTAATTACCATTAGCCATGAGTTAATTCTCTAACATTATGGAGGCTAAGGAAGTACTCTATGTCTACTATAGTATTCTACCTCTGTATATTGGATTGATTAGTAGTAAAGAGGTACTACCGATGCTCTCAAACCAACAAGTATTTTTCTTCAGGGCCTTGGGAAATTAAGAACTATACAGTAGCAGAGACCCTACTCTTTTCAGCTAAATCATAATCACCCAAAACCAAAAGCACTTAATTGTGTGAGCTGAGAACTAAATTTAAGAATACTTCCTGACAAATATTATCCAAGTTGTGATACCCTAAAAAATATCAAATTCTCTAAAGTATTATTTAAGGAAAAGAAAATATCTACATTCACAGAGCATTTAATGCACCAAACATTTAATGTTTTACTTAATCCACACAACAAATTAGGAACATAGGATCCTGTCCTCATTTTCTGGACATGAAATTTAAAAACTTAAGTTACTCATTCAGCTAACAATAGCAGAGTACAGAGGATGGCTCCAAAGCCCATACGCTTTCCACTACACCATGATGCCTTGAGCATTTCTTGGCCAACACTCAAGAGCCCAGTTCACCAGGATAATCATGCTTGCCTTCCCTTGCCAATCTCCACTTTAACCACTGGATTAAAGAAAATATTACCCAAATACAACTGAATTCAAAAAACATAAACTCTCTGACAGGTATGTATGGTTCCTACTCACAGACGATTTCATCCAGAGCTTCTTTTGAAAGGCTAAGGACATATGATCTAGATACAATAGAGATTTGATAGATAAATGATGTCTGGGAGGATCAAATCACAAAGAATAGCATAAGAAAAGAAGTGATTATGTGGACTCAAGAAACAGTTCAAATTATTTATAACTAAACGCTTAAAGGTACTCCTAACAAAAGTTATATGAACTTTATAGAACAAAACACCTAAAAACAAAAACTCTCAGCAATATCAGAAACAAACTGGCAAAACCAGCCACACTGTCTTTGTTCTTCATAAGTTAAATTTGAGTAACTTGCTAATTTTGTGTCAATCTTAACATACAGTCATGCACCCCTAATGACAGGGATACATTCTGAGAAATGTTATCATTTTGCGATTTCCTTGTACAAACATAATAGAGCGTACTTACACAGACCTGGATAGATGGTATAGCCTAGTCTATTGTTCCTAGGCTACAGACCTGTATAGCATGTTACTGTACTGAATATTGTAGGCAACTGTAACACAATGGTAAGTACTTTTGTATCAAACATATCTAAACATAAAAAGGGACAGCAAAAATATGCTATCATAATCTTACGGGACCACCACGATCATGTGGTGTATGACTGTATATCTTTGGACTCAGCAAGTGGATCAAAATTAGAACCACTGCTAAGGCTGAAAAATAGCCATTTTTCACAAAGCCAACTTTTCACTGAAATAATGCGAAATTTTTCAACCTACACTTAAATTATTCACGGGTGTCCAAAGAACAAGCCAAAGTTTATCTAGCTGTTAGTTATGCTAACTTCCTATAGTCCTGTTTTCAATGGGTCTAGTCTATTTGGAAAAATCAGATTATGATGTTTAAAATTACTACTATTACATCAAATCAGATCTTAGAATAGCAAAACCCCATTCATATGGTCAACAAGTTACAATTTTTTTTCGTTAAGTGTAGAATAGCTCAGCTAGTCAAAAGGAAAGATCAATCCTTAGCGATAAGAGTTCCTCTCCACATATTTAGAAATGGTATACCATGGAATCAAGCAGTAATAGAAAGAAAACCACTTTGCTTTCCCAATCCCTGATACACAAATTGGGAATTACATCTAAACTAATGCACTGATTTGGTCTCTGGAAAGAGAAGATTTGTGCTCATTAGCTAAAATGAAATAATCTCTACAAGAAGGGAAAATCAGTTTTCAGTTACTTGGGAGTTACAAATTCATGATTGACTGATAAGGGAAGTGTCTACCACTATTTGGGAAGATGTATTTACTAAAATTTTGGTTAAAATCAAATAAAAACTAAGTACACTGCCTTGTAAAACAGAATATGGACTGAGTCTTACACAAGTACAAGAGGAAATGAGAACAAGACTCCCAGTTATGAGATAGCATTTAAATTAGGGAATACTGTTTTTCTCAAAGTAGTACTCCCTTAATGTGTTCACTCATTCTGGGTTTACAGAAAATAAGATTGTTATAGAGGCCATAAAAACGTCTACTGACTCAAGTATTGCAAATAAGCATAAAAATGACTGTCATACCCCACTCTCAATGACCTAATCATCATATAGGAATAGAAAAAGTAAACTGTATCAACTATTTCATCTCTCATGTAGCACAGATGTTTCTAAACCAGTCTTTTTTACGAAGGTGGTTTACTTTCCCAAGGGCACTGGGGAATTCCACTGTCTACCCTTGGAAACAGAACATAAAAATCGGCCGGGCGCGGTGGCTCACGCCTGTAATCCTAGCACTCTGGGAGGCAGAGGCAGGAGGACCCCTTGAGCTCAGGAGTTCGAGACCGGCCTGAGCAAGAGCGAGACCCCGTCTCCACTATAAACAGAAAGAAATTTGCCAAACAACTAAAAATAGAAAAAATTAGCTGGGCATGGTAGTGCACGCCTGTAGTTCCAGCTACCCAGGAGGCTGAGGCAGCAGAATTGCTTGAGCTCAGGAGTTTGAGTTTGCTGTGAGCTAGGCTGATGCCATGGCACTCTAGCCCAGGTAAGAGTGAGACTCCGTCTCAAAAAAAAAACACAAAAAAAAACCATGAAAACCATCTAGAGCATTAAATCAGTATTTAATGCCTACAAAACTATAATTCCTCTCTTTCAAAAGAGAAAGCATTTCTAGTAAGGTCCACAAGATAGTACCTAACTAGGATAGTCCTAAATCCCTAATTTACTCTCATTCTTGTATCAGTGGCCAGTGATCAGGTGTGCAAATACCTCATTTCTTAATACCTGATTGCTGACTATTTCTTCTCTACTATTTGTACCTTCCCTCTACCTTTGTAGGGGCACTAAGTTCTTTTTAGGCAAGTCACAAATGTTCATACTTATTCAACGATAAAAATCCAACTCAAATATCTAAACGTGCTAACACTTGTCATCAAATAAGTACCACAGAGAAAATTAGTTTTAGTAGTTACATTAATCTCTTTGCCACAGACTTTCTAAGCACTTGAATCTTACTTTTTGACCTGGCTTTTTTCTGTTACTCAGTATGTAAGGCTTCCTTGTCTCTAACTTTCCAAGAGTAGAACTCCCCTGAAGTCTATGAATAGCTTCACTTAAAGCTTCAGACATTTTCCTCTATGTTAAGCTTCTCATCTTTCATTTCTGTTGTGAAGGTTGCTCTTATCTTTACCCTCTAAAGTCACAACAATACCAAAAACCAAAAACAAAAAACCACGGCTACCCTCTATCCCTCCATATACTGATGTACTACTCAATTTCCGACTTAAGGAGCTGCCAACCATGAGGGAAAGAAAAGGAATCTAAGATAAGAAAATAAGTTATCACAGCTACACAGTCAAGAACTTCCATAAATCTTTTAATCTGCCCTCCACTTTAATAATTACCACACTGGATTCCTATGCTCAACAGGCTATGCTAGAACTAGATCTAATCAACTACTGAGTAAAAATAAAATGTATTATACACAATGAGAAATCACTCTGGAATATAGCCCACTGTCCTGACTGGGCAAGTTCAAAATTCACTTCACTCAGACTTCTATGACAATCTCATGAGGCATCCAGTTACCAGAATTTCAAGAGAACCACACAACTATCCCCTCATATTACACTAAGGAGAAAAATGGAGGCCAACATAAAAGGAAACATCTGGGGAAAGTGGTAAATGTATGACCGTCGAATTTAAAATAAACTCATGTTACTAAAATTTACGTATCTTCAAAATATGTTCTCTATATTTTCAACATTAAAATTAACTGTAAAGAACGGCAAAATGGGCCGGGCATGGTTGCTCACACCTGTAATCCCAGCACTTTGGGAGGCTGAG